CTGCCGTGTCCTTGTGACTGAAACCTGGACAATTCAAACAGGTAGGAGAATTAGAATAGAGGAGGTTTTTTGGAGATTAAACTGAATAAAAGAAATATGGACATTGTACAGACGTTTTGCTAAATTCGTTTCAATTCTAAATTTACAATTATTATAAATTTTGTTTATAATTTCAACAAAATATGGACTTTAATACTTTGATAAAGCATAGTGCATTCCAATACCGGAATGTTGTTATATTCGAGGTGAAAGACTGTCACAAAATGACTATTTTAAACTAATGACAAAACGTTCGTGGTGTGGCGTGCTTCAAGGTCCTTCRKGAAGTATTGTTATTGGTAGCTATGGTCACACAGACATTGTGTTTTTGTAATCAAAATCGCCTCGCAAAACCACTTGTATGAACGCGTCCTTTTATGATGTTTGTAAAATACATCCATAAACATACAAATAGGCACCTGTTATTTTTTATTGTTTAAGTTACAATAACAAGCTTGTTTATAACATTTCTAGTTAAGTGACTATTATTTATCATAGTACTATTGACGATGGTGATAATTTCAAGAGTGCTGTTGGCYTTAATATCGTTTCCTTTATGGTGTCAGTCAAATGCGAAGCTTAAACGAGTGGGGAAAAGTTTTTCTTTCAGTGCAGAGGATTTTGATGACCCACGTTATAAAGGAGTAGAGATATTCGATAGTGGACCTATTCGTCGTAACTCCGATGATCGACATGATGGGACTGTATTCGACCAATTTGATGAAGGTAGAGTAACTATATCAAGAAATAGATCAAAAGAGAAGAATATTTTTAGAAATACATTTCAGTAATTGGTTCATTGGAAGTGTAACGTCAAAATATAAAAATAGTAAAATAGAACAGGATAACTTGTTCAAGATATGAAAGAACAGCAATCTAACGCTGTGTTGTAAACACTCTTTACGCAGACCATAGTCAAAGCTCGAAATCTGGAAAATCAAATGCATGTGTTGTGAAGACGATCCCTGATGGATGTAAGCTCGTCAGTGACTGTGATGTTCACTGTAGTATTTCCATGTTTGGACATAAAGGACAAATGGAAGTTGCTTTTCCTTGTAAAAAGTCTCTACAGCTCGTAGTTAACATTGCGGTCTCACTTTTCAAAAAGAGAAACGTTTATTCTTTAGCTGTCAATTATGTGAATGGCACAGTTATCAAAAACCTTGGACATAGTATTGGGAACTATAAATCGCAAATCCTTTTCTCTGCTACTATGAAAACATTGGCTGATGGGAAAGTTATTTTTGAGGTAATGGACGCTTTGGTTAATAAACTTGTCCCCTGGCTATCCCATACTGCATCTGTGAAAAATTAAATGATCTATTTTTATCACTGGGGCACTGGGGTAAGGGCTAGGTTGATTGTTAACCGTTGGGAGGGGGTTGAGGGCAAAAGTTATCGGTAAGTATGGGTGAGGGRGGTTGAGGGTTAGGTTGATTGTTGACCAGGGATGAGGGAKGTTGAATGTTGTGRTTATTTTTAACCCTAAGGTGTGAGGGTTAGTGGTATTGTATAGGTGTGAGGGTTAGTGGTATTGTATAGGTGTGAGGGTTAGTGTTATTGTTATATACATAGTGTATGTGAGTTGATACTATCACTCTCGGCGTTCTCAAATAAAGAATTTTTTATTCAGTTGTATTCAACTATAAAGGGAGATATTCAAGGTTCGTGGAGTAACATGGTCAAGACCAAGTTTATCGAAGTGAGCAGAAACGCTCTGACAGACAAGTGCGGTAAGCGTTCATTAGTACATATACAAATAGGATAAGAAAATGCTACTTGCTAAATAGTCAAACCAGTGAAAGCCTGCAGTAATTATAAACCCAACTACTGGACATGCAGGTGTAGGATTACGAAGTGGAGATATAGCCAGAAATAAAGATGCGACCATCCACATGGCATGATTCAAACTAATCATGCTCTTTACGATGCTAGTTACAACGCGGGATGGTTGATTTTTAAAATAAAATTCCTCAACAATCAAGTCTTCTAAGACCGGCTGAACGTGCACAATAGAGCTGATCACTTGAATTTGGATCTCGATTTTCACTGACGCGCTTTCACAATCAACTATGTTTTGGTATCCTGTAAACTGTATTCATTTTTTAACGTATTTATTTCTATAGAGTCGAAGGGAAAAAAGCAAGTATCTGTAGAAGGTCCTTGTGCCAAGCTTAAACTCCCATCAATCTGTGCAATTACACCAGACTGTATGCACATTTATTGTGAGTTGAAATTCGCCGGGCAAAAAGTTTCCTTCTCATTCTCAATCAACGTGTGTGAAAATCCAATGACACTGTCGGTTGGAGCTGATATTCCTACCTTACATATACACTGGGAGAAGAAATTTAAATCTAAGATGAGGATACCAATTCCAGGATATGGGTTTAATGCTCCTGGAATCAGTGGTGGTGTACAAATACGCGTACTATTGAAACCCAAACGAGGACGTCTACAGCTAAAGGTAGGACATGATCAAAATCTTGCTTTTCTTTGACTTCAGTGGTGAGGTTTGTAGCTTTTCATAAACTATCTTTTGCTAGTTAATCCTAGTTATATCCTACAAATAATAATCATTGATCGATGTATTGTTTATCTTGAATTGCGTCCGTTTTTCTCTTCAGATTAAGCTACTGGTAGGAGCGAAGCTGGGCTGGGCCGAAATTTTTCCACTYAAATTGACATTAGTAAGCCTGCGACTACCTATCAAGATAGCAGGATGCGGTGAGTRACATCATTACATTACAGGGGAGGAGAGGGGGCATCATAGCAAGGTGTTATGTTGTTATATCTTGCCTAAGACCAACGAATCAACTGAAGTACTGTACAAATTCCTCCAAAGGAAAATTTTCGTAAATATGACAAAATGTTGATTTTTGTCATTTTAGGAAAGACTTCACTTTTGGATAGAAGTAAAAAGAGAATAACTAGCTCTACTCCTACAACCGTGGTTTCTCACAAACGACCAACAACTAGTTTTACTCCTACAACGGTGTCCCATAACTTATCAAGGAAAAAGAAACAATCTAACCCTACAAGTAGTCCTAGTACTATTGCTAGCACATCTCGCAAACTACCAAGACCAACTGAAGATGAAGACTATGACATATCTTTTGAAGAATAATCAAAMAATATCTAATGGASTAGTGGCTCRTTTCTTTTCGAGATGGAATCCTACCAGCTCATGACACATCTCCTTCAACTRTATTTAAAGCTGGTTTCTGGCAAAACGATCCCAAATACGGACTCTCTTCGATCATACAATTGCAAACAACAAACGCTCTTTTGAATAAATGGTCAAATCAAAAAATACCATGGCACTCTCTTGTATCAATCAGTATAGAGGCAGGTCCAAGCCTAAAATACATGTTTAAAGTTTCTGGATCTGCTTTTGTATAATTCATGGATAACATCGACAAGTCATGTCTGCAGCTACTCAAAAGGCGGCAACACGAAGATGCAATAATATCTTCGATCCCTGCTGATACCAAATGATCGTTTGAATTTATGTCCGCCATTGATGAAAAACAACTTAGCATGAATAAAGTTTATGTGTAGGTTAAAACAGATGGTCGTGATACATCAGAATTTAAAACAGAATGACAGGTCTATTTTAAATTTTGAATTTAGCCTGGAAATAAACTCATTATTTTTCATAATCAATTTGCCGTGAATGCTTTCAAGTCTTTCATACGATTCAAAATCGAAGAATAATTATGATAAATATATTCCATAGTGTAAACTACCAAAAAAATCCATATCCAATTGGGGTGTTATTTTTGTGATCTTGGATAAATATTTTGCCTTTTTGACCTATAAGTAGTAAATCTTTTCGTAACAACCCGTGAACATAACACAGCTACTAGTTGCAAAGTCCTAAACAACTACACAATACTGGATATTTGAATAGTGGAAGTTGAATTACGCTTTATCATGAAGGGTTTGTTTTGTGCTGTCACTGTGACTGCTTGTTTGTGTATGGCGAATTGTCGACTTGTTCAGAACCAAAACTACGTCTCTGCTAAAAGAAAATTCAATATTCCAAAACCAATCGATATGATATTCCCTGAAAAGAAAACGAAAGAAAAAAAGCCGACATCCCGACCAGTTCAATCWMCACGATGTCAGCCATGTCGTAAGTAAAATCTCAKACTTTACTGCAATTTCCATAAAAAAAATTATCAGATCAATAAAAAATGATTCAAGAATTCTAACCTATTAAGTCCGATTAGCGGCAGTCA